CATCACATAGATCAATGATCAACTTCACGTTTTCAGAACTTGTAATTGTAATGACAATTCTTAGGCATTCGCAAGTTCAAAATTCAACAACACTTAGTCACTCACCATTACCAAAAACCACAATTCATACAATTGCTTCAAGCATCCAATATTTGCAAATTAAAGATAGAAAGAATTTATACTTACATGCATATGCTTGACTCCAAATACTCACCAAATTATTCTACTATACTAATATCGAACATTAAGCTATTGGGATCATTGGGGCTTTGTGGCTTTCAATTGTTAGGCTCTTTTGTTTCGAGGTAGAAAATATGGGTATATGTGGCTATTCTTCTTGAATTTAGGTGATTACGCCAAAATTTGAAAGATAGGCGTTTGAAACAATGAATTCACCTCTACGGACTTTAATAAACTCGATTCTCAAAAGTTCAAAAGTCTCCACTTTTGCTTTTGAGGCAATGGATCGAATTTTCAAAAATAATTCAACAACTAGTCCTTATTTCTCCCTTCTAGTTTCTTCTTCTTCTTCTTTTTCTTTTTTTTCTTTTTTTCTTTTTTTTTTTATTTTTTTTTTCTTTATATATATATATATATATATATATATATATATATATATATATATATATATATATATATATATATATATATGGAGATATATATAGGGACTTGTGAAAGCACCGTTGATGGTGACTCTTCATGAGTTGATTCTTTTTCCTCATTCACTTTCGGCTTCTCGATTACCGTGTTTCTCTTCTCCTTTCGTGGGGCTTCCTCCAATTTCTTGTCGTTCTTCAAGGTGACTGCTTGGCACGTCTCGACCTCGATCTTTTTCGTTAGCAACCGTTGTGGATATGGGATAGGTTCCACCCATTCAGCTACAGTTAGTTGCGGCTTTATTTGAATTTCTTCCCTTTTTTCGATCTTGACATCGATAGCTTGGCACGTCTCGAACTTTTGATTTCGAGGATCTTCCGTATTTGATGGCAATGCTCCCGGCGGGCGTTTCTCTTGATTCACAACGAATTGAGCGAATTGATTCTCCAAATTCCGCAGCGAGGCTTGGGTAGCGGTCATGAATTGGGCCAAAATCTCCTCCGTGCTTGATTTTTGGGCCGGTGGATTGTTGCCTTGAAAAATTTGTTGAGGAGGGGCTTGATTTTGGAATTGACCTTGAGGTCTTTGATATCCTTGGCCTTGTTGATTTCCTCCATATTGCCCTTGTGATCTCCACCCTTGATTTTGGAATTGGCGAGGTGCGTTATTGACGTAGTTGAGCGATTCCACATCTTGTTGGCATTGGAGCGTGTAGTGATTTCCACCGCAAATTTCGCAACATGGAGACTCAACGGCTTGGACTTGTTGTGGTGGATTTGCTTTGATGTGTTGTAGAAGGAGTTGATTTTGTTAAGCAATTTGGGTCACTTGAGCTTGAAGGGCCGTAATTGCATCTAACTCCAACACCCCGGGAACTTTATTGGCTCCACTAACCGTCCTCTCGCTTGAGTTGGCAAACCGATTTTGAGCAATTTGATCCAACATGATGAAAGCATCCGGTATCGATTGACTCATAAAATTTCCCCCGGTTGATGCATCTAAGACCGTTCGTGAATTCTCGTGAATCCCTTGGTAGAAGATGTGGATTTGCCGCCATTGTTCGACTCCATATGTTGGACACTGCCGCAAAAGGGTTTTAAATCTCTCCCATGCCTCGTATAATTGCTCGCCTTGCTCTTGGACAAAATTATGGATTTCTCGTCGGATTCTCTCGTCCTTCTCGGGTGAGCTATAAACTTTCATGAAAAGGTTGAGGAGTTGAGGCCACGACGAGATAGAGTGGGGGGCTTGGGACATCAACCACTGGCGAGCTCTTCCTTGTAGGGAGTGCTTGAAGAGAATTAATTGAAGCGCCTCTTGGGAAACGCCGTTTTGACGGTGGGAGTTACAGGTATCTAAAAAATTGACAATGTGAAGATGGGGATCTTCACCTGCCAATCCACTAAATAACCCGTTATTTTGGAGCATCGTTAAGAGGCCTTGCTTGATCTCAAAATTGTGCGCCTCAATGGGTGGATATTGGATGCTCGGGCGGAATCCGTCTAGAGTTGGGATTATGTAATCTTGAAGTGCTCGTGGACGAACTGCTGGCTGTGCTGGAAGTTGAGGGGGTGGGTCTTGGACTTGGTTTCCGTTGGCCTCGAGTAAATTGCCCGCGGCCCTGCGTTCTTCGTCCTCCATTATATTGTTTTCGCGTTGAAGTCTCCTAGCGGCTCGAAAAGTACGTTCGATTTCGGGATCAAACGGTTCTCTAGCAAGATCGAGTCTCCTACGCATACACAATACCTAAAACAAAAAAAAAAAAAAAATAATTAAATGGGTGAATCGTGAAAATTGTTCAAATTTAGAGCTAGAATAAAATAAATAATTAAAATATTCCCCGGCAACGGCGCCAAAAACTTGTTGGCCGAAAACCTACACGCAAGTGCACGTATCGTACAAGTAATAAAGTGGATTTTTAAGTCCAAGTATCGATCCCACAGAGAATATTTAATTATCTAATCCTAGACGCTAAATTCTACCAATTGTTTTCAAGCCCACCCTACACAGTCGAATTTAGAGAGAATTAACTAGATTAAAATAAATTAAAAACAAGCAAAAACAAGAAAGCAATTTAAAGTGAAGATTTAATCAAGATAAGCAAGCCTAGGATTTTATTCTTCCCCCTATGTGATTATTATTCCCCCAATTCCTTCAATTATGCAAGCAATTAACCCGGATTATTAACCTGAGATGCTAAAATAATCATAACCCGCTCCCGCGTGTATTACGATTCTAATACTCTAGATTCAATTACTATATTCCTATGCAATTAATTCTAGAACACAACATTAAGCACAAATCTCAATAATGGCTACCTAAGAGATTAACTATATTCCTATGTTAATACCACAAAAGCTCTTCTACCACAGTTCTAATTATTAACCCGATCTTCCGATTCATGCGATTAACAATAACATAAAAGCACATAAGTTGATCAAGTTCATGCACTTAATAAAACAAGTAGAAGAAATAATCCAGAATTAAAACTTGCATAAAATCATAGAAAAGGGTTCATAAATCCCACATAGGGTTCCAAATAAAATCCTAGAAATAAGAAAATTAGCTACTCTTGATTAAAGGAAAAACACAAATAAAATAAGTCATAAACGATAAATCTATGCTTAGAGTCTTCGAATTCTTCGTCTTCGTTATTGCTTTGTTGCTCTCTAAATTTGCGTAAAAAAGATCCTCAATTGTGTGCTTGGCTTGATCTTATATAGGGTGAAGAACTTGGGGAAGAAGGCAGTTTCCTTGTACAATTAAAATCCCTTTACTGCGCAACTTCGGAGTCTCGGACGGGGGTCCCACAATTTGCACTAAAACTGGGACGGGGTCCGAGCTTTAAATCTTCAGAATTTTGATATTTTCACTTTTGACCCATATTTTCGCCAAAATTGCAGTTTTGACCCCATACTTTTCCAATTCTTCAATTTGTACCTAAAATACAATAAATCAACTTTTTAAGCACCAATTATCGTTAAAACACACCAAAAGCTCAAATAAAAAGGTACGATAAAGTGTAAAAATATACACTTAACAACGACAATCCTTTATCATGTGATTCGGCTTGCCGCAATTATGGCACGTTCCATTGAACTTGAACTTTTTCAGGTTCCATTTGCCTTTGCCATTGTTGCTTCCACTCCCACCGCCACTAATACTTCCTTGAACCTTCTTATTCTTGTTAACCTGCATGTTTGGTTCCGTAAAATGTGCTTTAGTATATGTTGTTTGCCAGTCTTTGACTCGATCTTTTGATTGTCTTCTTCGGTCCTTAATCTCACAATAAGATCTTCAAGCCTCATTTCTTTACGTTTGTGCTTGAGATAATTCTTAAAACCATCCAAAGCGGTGGTAACTTCTCGATCATTGCAAAACTTGGAAGGATTCAGTGAACATCATTCCTTCGACATGAATATCTTGCATGATGAGTTGCAACTCTTGGACATTGCTCATAAGAGTCTTAGTGTCCACCATTTTGAAGTCCAAAAACTTTTCGTCGATGAATTTATTCAACCCGACATCCTCGGTTTTGTACTTCTTCTCTAAGGATTCCCACAATTCCTCAGCGGTCTTAATTGGACTATACACACTAAATAGTGAATCATCTAGAGCATTCAAGATGTGGTTCCGACACAAGAAGTCGAAATGGGTCCAAGCATCCCACGCAATTCTTATTTCTATGCTAGCTTCTTTTTCCAGCACAACGGGAGGTGCTTCGGTCACGAACCTAGCCAAGTTGATGGTGTGTGCTCGCAATTATTTAATATCAGTATATTTAGCATATCAAATTTTAGATAATTATTTTATTCTCTTTTGTAATAGTATCCCATGCATTGCGTGGGACATGGTTACCCAGTTACTAAGAAGAAATAATAATCATATTTAAAATAGAAAACCCTTAATTAGAAAGTAAAAACTTGGATTCATTTTAGCTCGAACCTTTGATTACTAAAATTCAAAACTCAATTCTTAATTCAATTAATGCTTTGAATGTTTGTGTTTATTTTGATAAATCTAAAAATATTGATTGTACTAGAATTAAAACTAAAAACGAGGACAAAGTTTATGTATATATCTGTTTCAATTATAAAGCACGAGAGGTCATCTCATTTACAAAAGAAACAATTGATTCACCATGTCAACAAGAACAATTTAGTAAATTTTACTAAGTTGTGATAAATGTATGATCCCTCTCTTTGGGCAAGTGTGCAACACAAACAATCAATTTTGATGGATATACTAATGGATGTTATCTCTTATGTACGATGAAGGCATTTTGTATCTAAATTAATACAACAAGGAGGGTCATATGGAAAACAGGCAAACCTCTAGAAGTTTTATGTTCTTTACCCTAATTAAACAAAGAAATGCTACGTGTATGTGTGTGTGTATGTGTGTGTGTGTGTGCGTGTGTGTGTGTGTGTGCATATCATACGACAGCAACTCCCTTGCTCCGTCGCCTAGAATTCCTCCCATTCCTCCCATGGCGACGACGGTGGTGAATGCCACCGTGAAACTTCATCCTTTCCCTCAACCTCCCACTGTCCTTGAACAAGTCCCTTTCTGAGGGAAGAATTATACATTCTGGAGGTGGGATAGGGTACCTTAAATTGTCATAGCAGTATGAATAATACATATATTTTTCTCGAAACCATTTCATTGATTTGCGGCCATCCGAAGTGATTGTAGAGTATTCCTTTCCAATCAATGCGGAAATGGAATCAGTGCAGTTGGATGACAATAATTGGTCTGTTGGATCAACAATGCATCCTTCAAGAACTAAATCTGTGAATTCTGCAATAAAGGGTTGGTATTTGTAATCAACCTTCTCTTGGCCACCATTAGTAGCCCAAGAAGAAGCATCCCATATTGTAGCGTATACTGACATTGGCTTCGATGGATAATCACCTTTCATTTCCTTGTTGCGGATTACTTCTCTTATTGGTATCTCGTCAACATAGAATCTGGAATATTATTAATACATGCATGCGTTCATGGTTTATCACAATATATATATATATATATTAGCTGGCTTACATGATATTTCTTGGAGTCCACAGAATGCTATATCGGTGAGAGTCGATGGTTGGGTCGAACCACATTCGGTACCTCTCCTCCCTACCACGTGATACGCTTCCGTTGCCATACATGTTTGTTTGGAACCTCCATGGCTTCCCTTTTGTGTTTCCCAGAAACTCAATGTCTAATTCATCATGGTTCCTTTCAAATGTGTCCACGTTTGATGTCTATTGGAAAGAGAAAAAAAAAACAATATATACTGTAGAACGTGGAAAATTAATTTCATGTAATATAATTGATGTTTTTTAAAGTTCCCATATATGCATGAATTTTAATTTACTACTCACGTAGAATGCAACGACAATGCCAGCGGTATGTTCAGATGGCATCTTAATGCTGGCGCTGAAGAAGCCATAGTTGTAATAATCAGATGATATAATTCCAGAGCCTGAAATTAATTAAACATTCATGATCTAACAAATTCACATAGACATGTCAACATTATATTAAATGTACGAAATTTTCAAGAAGGACATCAATTTTGATAACATTTTTACATATTTATCATATTGCATGCATTAGGGATGTGCGTGTATATACAATAAGCGTGCGCGCGCGCGCGCACACACACACACACACACACACATATACACAGACACACATATATATATATATATATATATATATATATATATATATATATATATATATA